ATGTGTATATATATATATATATATATATATCATGTCAAAGAAATGTAACCAACTTATCTTAAAACACAATTGTGAGCTCATCTCAGTATTCCTATTACACTGATCTACAGTCTCTTAACTTTCATTTGAGCTAAATATAGCTTTTTAAAATAACGTTGTGTGATCGTATGTAAAATGTAAAACTCTTGTAAACTGACATTAGTAAAACCCCATTCTAATGAAACAGACCTAAAAACTTTTGAATGTCATTCAATGGACTACAGATGGTGAAAGTACTCCAGTTTCACCTGAAGTATGTAGTTTGATTAATTCTACAGCATGTGGCTCAGCACTTTCTCCTTATCAGCCCTCTGGTGCTTTTCCAATCTAAGGACGGAACGGTTCCTCCTTCATTTTATCAACATGGTCTGTCACCTCCCCTCCCCCATCTCAGTTCTGCCAAACACACAATTAAAAAAAATAAAATCAGCCTATGTTAGAAAACATATATGCATATTTGCCAAAACCAAACTGCCAAAATCAAAATGCTTTTGCTATAGAAAAGGATGCCTGTGTGAACAGAACACAGTGAAGGCATCTATTATACAGAAATATGATATATTAATACTCTCATGCAAAGGGTTCACCGAAGAATTGCTGTGTTATAATCTGCTGCTGGAGAGATAGATTCATCACAGAATATTAGAAAATTGACTGCTTAGTTGGATTCTCCCTGTAATTCAGCAGCAGTATTCTTTTTTTTTAATACTTTGATTTTTTTTTAAATTAAGGTATCATTGATATACGTTCTTGGGAAGGTTTCACATGAAAAACATTATGGTTACTACATTCACCCATATTATCAAGTCCCCCACCTTGCCCCATAGAAGTCACTGTCCATCAGCATGGTAAGATTCAACAGCAGTATTCAAAGTAATCAATTCTCATTCAAATAGAAAATAAACCCATTTCATAAATAAAATGCCTACTGTAAAAGCAGCTCAAATAATACGTGTGGGATGTGATTATTTTGGGAAGGTCTTACTCACAACCACTTCTCTTGCATTAGCACCTCAGTTAGTAACAAGCATTGATCCAAGTACTTTCACTTATGCTAAAAAAGCTTTGGTCTGGGATGTACGTACCGACAGTGTGGATAGGTTTCCTATAGGGCATTAGGCCAAAATTGTACTGAAAAACTCCTCTGGCGTGGAAGAGGGGCAGAGCAAACCCCATGACGTCCCGCAGTTTCTCCTGCACAGTTCGAAGCCAGGAGCCTTCAGGGTTGTTAACTTGTTTAAACAGTTCATTTTCACCAAAAGAAAACACAGGGACCAAATAGGCGCTGCAAATAGCAGAGGGAAAGAATAAGAATTTTCAGTGAAAAGAATCTAAATATTTTATTCTGTCCAGCTCACTTTAGCAACAGATGCACGTTAGCAACGGTACTTCAGCATTCGGGTGATTTGTAGATTTTACTGTATAGAAAATCAAGATTCCAGGAAGCTTCTTCCTCACCTATAGTTTTAGGCCAGTTTGTTCATTTGGCTGGAAACTTACCCCATGCATATAAAATTTCGTATGGTTTTTGTTTTGCTTTGCTTTTACAGAGAAGTTTAACTGCTGACCACCGCAGCATTGAGCTACCTAGTGGCAAGGTTTTCTGCCATTCCCCATGAACATGCACATCCACTTTTATTGTACGACTGATGAGGAGGTCTGCCTTTCAGGGCTAGACAAATCACTTTACTTCTTTGTGTTCATTTAGTAATGCCTCAAGTTCTCTGATCCAGCTCCCCGAAATGGGACACCACTTACCCGTGGGTCAAAGCAATTTTAACAAATCCTTTCCGCTGGCGGATGAACAGGGTGAATTTCCCAGGGTGGGCATCCAGTGATTCTTCTGCACCCCCAAGGACAATGACTGAAATGTTTCCACCTCCCTCCTTGCTTAGCACATGGGAAACACTTTTCTTGGAAACTGAGACTGGCCCTTTGGGAATAAAATAAAAGTTGTAACCAATTATCCTTTCATAAAATTAAAACTTTCATCATAATATTCCTTGGTGTCAGTGAATATTTAACAAAATGTCCTATACTGCTTAGATATGGAGCACCTTGCAGGTTCATAATTTTGTCAGAGCCCAATCTTTGGTAATGGATTCCACTAATAAGGTCTAACATTTTGGCAGGTGTTGGGTAAGGATTCTGAAATGTCGCTTTATCATGGCACTTATTTGGGTAGGTTGTGCACTGTTCAACTCTCCAGACCCCATGCACATTGCATTCCAAGTAAAAGGTGCCCCCTAGAGTTGTTCAGTGCACAACCTACATAGCTGTGTGTGGTAGCCTTGATCAATTACCCTGGTGAATCCTGGCTCAGAACCAAAAAGTATATCCTCCAAGAGATCGCATTGGACCTTCTGAACACACAGCGTCCTGTTTTCAGATACTCTATGTGGATTCTTGTTCCCCAAACCCAGATTTATAAAGTAAATGGTTATAAAAACTCAGACATTTGGCAAATAACCTAGTTCACTTGCCAGATTTCTCCATGGTTCCAAGATGGCTAGTCTGACCTTGGTAAACTATTAAGATAGTCATATAATTTTCCAGTCTTTGTATCAGGCTTTCCCACATAAAAATAACTAAGTGTCCCTTTTGATTTTAAGTATACTCTGTACCCTTGGAGCAAAATACCATAAACTCGTGGAGGCAAAGAAAAAAGATGAAAACATAAAACACTCATGACCCACATTTCAGAGATAAGTGCTTTTCAACATCTTATTGTTTCCCCCTCATTCTTGGTTTTATCCATTTTCTTCTAAGTCATAAACGAAAGTGTTCCTCAGGCTTTATAAAGACACAGCACACCTCATTTCTCAAAGGAGAATGTTATGTTCATTTTACTGTGGGTTCCTATTCCTGGGAGAATGTAAAATCACGCAGGATTCTGGATGACCAACCACAATCTTAAAAGAAGCAGCAGAGGGTGGTGGGTGGAGAACACAAGCTTGATGGGTTAGAACTTCCACTGAGGCTGAGGCGTGGCCGCTCGGCTGGGGTCCCTGAGTGGGAGCCGGAGGCGCGTACTGCCCCTGGGAAGAGGGCCTCCTCGGTTTCCCGACACCGGCCTCTCCTCCGGCCACTTCTTAGTTCCCTCTCTAGGCTTCCTTTCTTCACCATCTTTAAATGCTGCTGTGTCTTGGGGCTTGATAAAACCTGCATGTTTGTATCCTTCCAAAATTCACATGTTGAAACCCTCGTCACCAGTAGGCTGGTATTAGGAGGTGGGGCCTCCAAGGGGTAATCAGGTCATGAGAGTGGAGCCCCCGACGGGATTAGTGTTCTTCTAGGAGGAAGAAAGCCAGGTGTTCTGTCCCCTGTCCCCCTCGTGAGGACGCAGCAGTGAGACTCGGTCTGCAGACCAGGGAGCGAGAGCTCATCAGACGCCGGATCTGCCTGGGTCTTGTACTTTCCAGCCTCCAGAACCGTGAGAAATAAATTTCTATTGTTTAAGAGGCCCCGTATACGGTATTCTGTTACAACAGCCCAAACTAAGACAGGTTCCTTTATTGTCTCTAGTATCTCCTAACCTTATTCATAGACGGGGACTCAACTACCACTTCTGTGCACTGAGTTCTGCCAAATCCGTCTCCCAGGAAATCCTCCTGAGGCTCCAGGCCACGTCTCCAGCGGCCCAATGACACGACCTCAACAGTGAGAAGATACCTCCGACTGCGTGTTTCCAAATCCAATGCACTGAAGTCTCCCTGCAAGTTGCTCCTCTTGCAACATTACCCATAAGGTGGGCAGGACCACCACTTACTCCGTCCCCGACGTCAGAGCAGAGGCTCCTCCCACATGGTTCCCTCTTGTTAGCAACCACGCCCACTCCCTGCTCTTTCATAAACCCCAAAACCCCTACTGAGCAACTGCTGTGCTAGATGCTGATGATCTGATGACAAAATACAGTTGCTACCTTCACGAGGTCACATCAATCATTCAGTCTTGTTGACTCTATCAGTTATTGTTTTTACCAATCTCCTCTTCCGTTCACCACTTCATCTGCCAATGGTTTAGCCTTTCTTACCTCTCCCTTGACCACTGCCATAGGCCCCTTCCATCATCACTGCCTCTGGGCTCCCCTCATCCAAGCTATGTCTGAGCAGCTGCCTGGATGATCTTTCTAACGCATAAAACCCGGTCAGGTCCCCTCCTTCCTGAAACGCCTCACAAGATATCCATGGCTCACCTACAAGATAAAATCTAACGTCCTCTGTGTGAGCAATAAGGCTGTTGTGATGTGGTATCTGCTACTTATCCAGGCTTAATGAGTAGACAGAAAAGAACATGAGCCTTCAAACATGATGCCCTGTGGATATCAGATGAGTATAGATTCAGCAAAATGGGCCAAGAGGACTGGTTTGGAGGTGGGACTTACAGGGACACACAGCCACAGAAATCTCTTGGATAAGAATGAGACAGACACCTAAGAGCAAAGGACCTCTGAAACCCTACTGGCATCTTACCATAAGAGGTCTGGTCTATCTGTCTGTCTGTCTGCTTTCACACCCAGTGAGGCAGGCACACACCAGAAGGGCCGCCTTGGACCAGCAGCTGCCGTAGGAAGCCAGTTCTGGCAGGGATTGAGACTCTCTAAACTTTGAGGTAAGGATACCCTAAGCTCCACTGGCTACAAGTCTGGATATTTTTATTTCACTTTAAAGAAATCTCAAGTTAGAGAAAAGGATAAGGCCTCATGACATCATACACTGGTGACTGAAGACAGGGTGCATCTTAAATGCCACCTCCAGCAAATGGCAGTGGTTGTGGGGGTGTCACACAGAGAAAGGCTCTATGATAGATTATGTGTAGCTGACATGGTCGCTGAGAGGGGGGTAACCTGCATTTCTTGTGCCATGAATTTGCCACACCTGCTCTCAATTCTACTTACACTCACTTGTGGGTATTTAAAGTTTTTAAATTTCCCTTTAATTTTCTTTATTTTATTAAACTCTAACCCAATTATCTGCAAAATTATGAAGTGAGTTTTTTTCCTCTAAGGTAGTTTGGGTGGGGTGGGGCGCCCTCTAGAGGCCAGATGCAGTGGCAGCCCAGACTGGACTGGACGGCCAGCTCCGGGCTACATGCACCAAGGTCCACAGAGACCACAAACCCAGCCAGAGATCCTGGTCCTTTGGTGCTTAGTGATTTCCCACCAAGTATATAATAACAACAGAGACTTGAAGAATTAATAGGAAGTAATGAAAACCTGGAACACCACCATGGAAAATTCTATCTCTGAATATGCCACTTAATGACCCTGGAAATAACAAATTTTCAAAAAGAGGCTACCCACTTTTCTATATATCCAAGAAATGCAAAGACAATAATAGTTACCCTACACAATGGCCATAAACATAAAGTACTTTGTAAGTCACTGTAGTTCACGCTTAGTAAGTTGGTCAGGTTGGAAAACCAAACAAATTGAACTTTGTGCATTCAAGTGAGGGCTGTTAACAAAAGTTTAGCCCCTTCATACATTCATATAGTGTCCTTACAGCATTTCAGCTGAATTTTATTCTCATAATTGGTAGAATTATGGTTTCATTAGTCAAAGGGGCTTCCACTAGTTCAGAGTAGCAGTGTAGAATGGACTTTTATTTCTGAGCCAAGTTATATTCAGTCTATGAAGGAAAAGACAGCAGATTGAGTATGTTTAGTTTATACACTGTCATGGGAGGACATCTGCTGCCTCTAATATTCTTAAAGCATGCCAAGAGCCTGTCCAAAGGTGCAATTTATCACTTATGTGACCCATGATTTTGTTTCTTTCACATCTGGATACAAAATGCATTCACTGATTTATTCTTCCATGGAAGTAATATCTGCTGAACATTCTTACACTCCAGGCACCATGCTAAGTACTTGGGGTTAAAACAGAGAAAACAACACATCTCTGTCTTCCTGACATTTCCGGCCAGTGGCAGAGGCAAGAAACGTCCAAATAGCATATGAAGTGTTGCATAGGGATGAAGCCCCAGGTTTTACTCTAAGAAATTGTAAACTTGATTGAGTTTAAGTGGGAACATTCTGGGTGGTCCTGGCACCCTAGAACATGCTAGAATAGGGATATGCCTTCACTTACCACTACTCATCAGATATTCTCGGAAGAGAGGGCACCGGAACCAAAATGGGAGCACATGAAGATACGCAGTAAGGCCAGGAAACAGCTCTTTGAAGTTTGAGTAATTCGTACAAAAATTTCCAAAGGCTCCAGTAACCAGCACTCCGTGGGGGTGAAACCCAAATATGTAGTTGTGACTTGGATCCAAATCACAGGTTTTGATGAGCTACAGTGCATTGACATTGAGATAAAAAAATAAAATGTTTCCCTGATTAGTTTCCAATATATAACAACAGGACTCATGATTAGATTTTGTGTCATGAGGAAATGGAGAATGTGACTCATTTTAGTTCCCTGGGTTAGCACTATTTCCAAATTTTAAAACAATTTCCCGAGCCCAAAGCCCCTCACACACAGCCTGCTAAATTCTGTCAATTTAGAGTCCAGTTAGTAATGGGCTGTTGCATGCTTGCTCCCTCTGAAGAGAGGGAAGCTTGAAATATGTGTGATGAAAACAAATTTCCATTCATCTCCCAGCTCAAAACGCTACTATAAAAAACAATTCTACTCACATGAATTGGAAAATAGTCCTTAAAGTACCTCCAAACAGTCCAGCTTCTCACCCAATTGGATCTCCTGCCTCCTTGCTCTGGGGTATGCCAGTCAAAGTAAAGCCACGTCAAATAAGGGACGTAGAGGAACCAGTAGTTGTATATGATCAGCACCACGATGAGTCCAATGCACACCTGTGCTGTAAAAAAGGCAAAGACCTCAAGAATCAGGGTCCATTAGCAGCTACTCACTGTACCATGCAGTCACTGTAGGGGGGATTTCATACATACAAAGTGCGTTAAGCTGAGCCTCAATTAAGCAAGGTAATATAACAAGACAGCGATGGTACAGTATTATTTACCATGTATTGGATACTAACTATATACCAACTATTGAATTGTGTACTCTGCCAAAAGATTGTCTGTCACTTAATCCTGAAAGAGCCACAGTATCTTAATGTCCTTTTTATAGAAAAGAAAATGGAAGTGCGGAGAGGTTAAATGAATTGCCGGAGCCGCACAGAACATTTAGTGGTTGAGCTGTCCAAATTTAAGTCTGCTCTCAAAGTCTGTGGCCCTGCACTGCCTCCCTAACGTGACCTAGGGAGGGATCATGAGTGACAGGAGGCACGCGGAGGGGTTCCTACTACAGGTGTTCACCTTGCTGAGCAGCCTTATTCATGTGCCCTTCCAACAGGGAAAAGGAAAACTTCATTTTCAGGAACTCTGTTGCCCGAGATAGACATGGCATAGGAGAAACTGTGTACATCTTAGCTCCTCTCACACTACTTGCAACATTTCACAAGGACAAGGCAAGAGCCATATTGCTTGTGCATCTAATGACACAGCTTCAAAATACATGAAGTAAGGCACAGTCGCAGGGGGGCCATCAGGTGAGAATTTGGGGATCAACAGAGGTGAGGCTCAGAACCTCACCCCCCCCTGCTTTGAGAGAAATCTTCTGCATCCGTGGATGTCTTGCTGCCCTTGTCTAGCCTGGATTAATACTTAGTCCATAGGCACACACCTGATCATCTGATCATCTACATTTGCCTTCTTACAGCACTAAACTATGTTTTCTACCTTTATCTTGCATCTACCTACCACTTCAGCATTTTATTAAAAATAAAAATAATAATAATAATAGGAGAAATGTGGGATCAACATATAAATCAAGTACAAAAATCAAACGAATATTCATATTTGACCTGATTGTTTATAGGTCATATTGCATGATCAAAACCGAAAGTTTCTGTGATGACTGCCCTTGTACTGTTCACCATGTAAGAATTTATTCACTATGTAAGAATTCGTTCACCATGTAAGAACTTGTTCGTTATGCTTCAGAAGATTGGAGACTGACGAGAATTAGGCTTGAGATGGATTAATGATTGTACATTGAGCGTTGACCCCCCTATACTGAATTTTATTGTTGTTAACAACCATTTGATCAATAAATATGAGAGATGCCCTCTCAAAAAAAAAAAATACATGAAGTAAGAGCAGACAAAACTTGACCAGGGTGGTAGTGCCATGAATGTTTGCCTTAAAGTGAAACATTAGCTAAGCTAGAAATTTTCTTTTCGCATGTGTGCTATGTATTATACTAAAAAATGTTAAAAGAGAAATACATCAATGAAGGAGGAGGAGGGGAGTGTAAAGACATAAAGTGTAAAGACATAAAGCACACAGTAAGTGCTCAATAAATGCCAGCTCTTACTATCGCTTTGCAGGGTGCCACTGCGTCTTTCTCTTCTGTTGCCTGCTGCAGTCTCTAACTGAGCGCTGACTTCAGTCCCCCAAAGGCCTGCCCATCCCCTGCCAACTTTGTGAAGAAGGGCTCTGTCCCCAGAGTCCCTTCATGGTGTCTGAGTAACAGCACCTTGACCTATTATAGTTTCATAGATTAATTTTTTTGTTTTGGGCCAAAAAGTGGAGCATGGATTTACATTTCTGGAAATACTTAAATCAATACATTTCCCAGTATCCATTTAACTCACATAAAGAAGTGAACCAACTGACTCGCTCTCTCCAAGGTGGATCAAAGTTTGTTAAGAGAGAGTGAACGGTTAAGGAAGATGTACCCTCTTCCATGCTGTTGGGGTGTTTTGTTATGATCTGGAACAGCCAACAGTTTCCACTGAGTCCAGAAGCAAGGCCAAAAGACTGTCCTTTACCTTTATTCCTTCCAGGGGCATTCCATTTTGCTTCACCTGCTTCCCTCTAGCCAGGTCTGCATGCTGACAATTTACTGCCATGACTAGTTTTCTGTTTATCTTACTAAAATATGCACAAAAGATTTAAGTAACTTAGGTAGGTTTCACTATGCCACACTCTGTGCAGGAGCAGGTGAGCGGGGTGCGGCAGGGAAGGCAGGGCCAGTTATTGAGGAGGGGCCTCTCCCACCACCTCGTTTCTGCCCCCTGGCAGTCCTCAAAGTACACCTCACTCTCCCCATTTGCACTTGTGGGAACTGAGGCTCGGGGAGTTGGCATGTCCGAGGGATCTGAACGTGGCTCTGCCTAATCCCTAAACCAGACACCCCTCCCCCACCTTTTTTTTAAACTAAACTATCCCAAGTTAATGGAATTGGGGACATAAACTTAAGAGGTATTCATGACAAGTGCATAAGCAAGTTCATAAGCCTAAAGAATCAGGCAGATGGGAGGTTCTGTTTTCCTTACTGTAACGATGGAGAGACTGAGACCAAAAGCAAATGGACTTAATTTCCATCAGAGTGAGTCAAGAGCGATCCCGAAATAAAGTCCCCCGGCTAGTAATTCAGTGTTCCACGAATGCAATTACATGTCCTCTACTTGCGTGTCTCTTTAACATTCGCTCAATGTTTTGTGTGCATCGTGGTTAAGACTTGGATCTGGAGTTGGACTGCTTATGTTGGCATCTGCCACCGACTAACTGCCTGACCTGGAGCAAGTGCTTTCATTTCTTGAGCCTCAAGTCCTTTACCTGTGAAATGGGCTAGGAACTGCCCCTGTTTGTGGGGAGGACAAACAGTGCCTGGCACAGAGCAAGTGCTTGACACATGGGAGCCATTGCTATGATGCTCTTTCCTGTTACACACGTGGAGAATGTAAGAAGTAAAACGAGACCAGATATCACCCACATTCTTATCACTCAACAAACAGCACTGTTAGAATTTTCCTTGTGGTCTTTTTTCCCTATGAACAGGTTATGTTTCCTCAACATGGCTGATCCCACATCTTTTTTATTCTGCATTTTATCCCTCAGAATTATCTCACATTAGCCGTTGATACTATAAATTTGGCATTAAAACCTCTTCATAAGTGTTATTTTTGATGACTGATGAACATTTCACTGATTGTCAGTGCTAATTTAACCATTCTTTTATTTCTGATAATGTGGGCTTCTGACAAATTCTGCAAACATAATCTTGCATAAGTTTTTCCACATTTTCATTACTTCCATAGGGCAGTAAGTAAGACACTGGACCACGGAGCAGAAACATCTTTGTCACTTGATATAATTTAAACTCTCACCCCACACATTGCATACATTCCTTTATATTTCATATCATAAACAGCACCAAAATAGTTTTTTAATCCCTTGATCCTAAATTGGATCGAAAGAAAAAAACACTATGAAAACTAGGTGACCGGATCACCTCTATTTTCTATTTTTATCCCATTAAGCAATCCAAAGTAACATGATTCTTCTAAACTGGAGGCCACAAAGAAGAAGAAGATACAAGTCTACTCCAAATACACCGTGTGACTCTCAAAACTGATGTTGACACCTTCTAAAATCATCCAGATTCACAAACCAAGGTGCATGGAAGGCCTGAATTTCAGTTGCCTCGACTTAGGCATATTCTGAATGAAAAGCCCCAAGTCAGCCCCCACCGCATCTCACTCCATTTTTACTTATTTCCCATAGATTCCATTTTCTCTGCATTGTTGAGGAAGCTGCTTCCACTCATGTTTTCTATTGAGGTGAAATTCACATAACATAAATTAGCTATTTTAAGAATCAATCCAGAGGCACCCAGTACATTCACAGTGGTGCAATGACCCCTTCCACCGAGTTCGGAAACATTTAGGTCATTCCAAAAGAAAACTCTGCTCCATTAAGCAGTTACTCCCTATTCCCCGCTTCTTGCCCCAGCAGCCACCGATTTGCGTTCTATTTCCATGGGTTTACCTATTCTAGGTATTTCATATAAATAGAATGATCCCATCTGTAACCTACTGTGGACTTTCCTTAACATCAGGTTTTTGAGGTTCACCCACGTTGTTGCATGTATCAGTACTTCATTCCCCTTTTTGAGTAAGTAACACTCCCATCTATGGATACATTGCAATCTGTCTGGTCAGCTATAGATGCAACAGTTGGGATGTTTCCACAGAAACAAAAAAGATGCAGTCAAAGTGTATGGCATCATCATAAAATTTAGCACTACCAATAGTCAAAATGATGCCTCTTGGTACGATCAAATGGGAAATACACCCCCCCACCACCTCCCCGCCATCACCGTTGTGGTCTTCTTGCCAAAAAGGCTAAACTGACTCTAATCATGAGAACGTAGTAGGCAAGCCCAGACCGTGGGACACTCTACAAGGAAATGAGCTGGGCTATTTAAAGAAGATCAATGCTATAAGTGATGAAAAAAGAAAAGAGGTAGGAAATGGTCTAGTTTTAAAGAAAAATTTGAAGACAGGGAAATTTGAATACAAGTCATGTTCAAAAATATTTTATAAGATATTAGATAAGATTATTGCTATCACTGACAAATTTCTTGGGTATGACAATGGGATTGTGATTATGCAGAAAATCCTTGTTTTCAGAGACACATTCTATAGTACTTGTGATGAAGTCCCAAGATGTCTACAACTTTCTGTATATTTTCAATGGTTTAACAGCAACAATAACAAAGTGTGTGTGTGTGTGTGTGGATGTGAGAGAGAGAGAGAGAGAGAGAGAGAGAGAGAGACAGCAGATGTGGCAAAATGCTAAGAGCTGGTGAATCTAGGTAAAAGAAATGTTTACTGAACTATTCTTTTAATACTTCTATAAGTTTGAGAATTTTCAAAATTAAAAGATGGGGGAATATGTGTCCCACATATAAGTGATAAAATGCATAGCAGGTAAAATGCACTGCTGCCTGGCTGGGAACAAACTGGAACCTCACAAGAGAGACAGCCCTACATTTGCAGAAAAGTCT